CAAGAACCAACACAGAATTTTTGTATTTGACACACGATGACAGTAATGCTGTAGATATTCTGGAGATCAGAGGTGTCAATTTTTGTAGTCAGGATACGTTGTTTTAAAAAATTTACAGTTAACTTGTACCTCCATCCGGTTCACCCCAAAGGGACGCCTTTGGAGGCTAGCCGGATGAAGGTGTAAGTTGAGGCCAATGAGTGAAGCGACATCAGCCGGATGAATTCCAAGAATTTGTTGGTTGTTGTTAATTCTTTTAAGACAAATTACGGTTGTCAATCTCAAGTGCTGTGGCTCCAATTCCCTTTTCTTGTGTTCTCGTGTTGAGTTCACCTTTTACGTTATTCGTTGCTTAGCTTTGTTGTGTCATTCTGAAATAATTGTAAATAGTTATCACGTTTGTTTTTACTTCTGGGCTGTGACAGTTTATCGCCAATAAATAGATTAAGAGACTGCCTTTCAGAAGACAAAACAGGAACGTACTCTAAGCTCAAGTTAGTTCAGACAGTACTAAATTGAGACGTAAATCAGGGATTGTCTAGAAGCTATTCATCTAAAGAGAAATCGCTGCATAAAATCTGCAAGTAGTAACAAATTGAGTAAGTACCAGGCAGTTACAGTCTAGGTACAGTCTTCTGGTGTGGCGTTTTTCTTGCAAGCTCAAGCGGCTAGTTATACCCTACAAGAGAACAAGAAAGGGAAAGAGGGTTAACCGTACAGACTTGAAGAGGAGACGCTACAGTAAACGTTTCCTCAATTTTAGGATTCTTGTCGGTGGCCGCAAAATACCTGTCAATTTGCTCACTATTTTTGGCTGTTTTCTTCACTGATTTTTCAAAAGCGTTATTTTTTTACTGACTATCGCTGTCAGAAGAAATGACTTAAATTTGACAACAAGAAAAGTCTCTTGAGTACGTTTTTGGTGTATCAAATATTTCAAATACAGTAACGAAACTTTGGCGATTTCGCGACAACAAGATGCGATAGATTGAGGATATTTACTTTATTTTTTAGTAGATTATCTACTTTTGGTTTTTTTACTCCTTCTGTAATAAAAACTTGGTTAGAAGTTACTGGAGCTAGTGGAAGGACCTATGCTTCGCTTTTATAAATTATAATCTTGTCTTGAAATTAGTAACCTTGAATTAATTCGTACTTAAGTGAATAATGTGATAGATTATTTCAGCTGACTACAGACTCTTTTTTTTTTTACGTTTTTAATTTCAGTAAGCGAAAATAAACTTTGTGAAATGGTCTTATACAAAAATGTTTGTTATTTATGAAGGAAGTTCTTGTCATTACTACAAAACAGATGTTATACAAAGCTTTTTGAAACAAATGGCTCACCATTGTGAATCTTTTATACAAATATTGTTTATTAGAAGAATATATAATTATAGGTGTCCTTTTAAAAAATTTCTTCTTTTATTTTTGATATATTCAGTTAACTATTTGGAAACTCTTTTCCATCCCTTCATATTTTTGCCACTCGGTAGCTGCTTGTAAACTTCATTGATATCATCTGCATGAGACATGATCTCTATGTTACTTTGTGCTAATTTTTGAGTAATTTGTCCTATACCGTTCAAAATTCCTGAAATCTATTATATTTTTGTACAGTGTACTTCTGATCTGTGAGCATTGGGGAAACATAAACTGCAAACAGTTATGAAGCAATTGATATTCATTGACAGATGAATATGTATTGATAAAAGCACAGGATATACCTTAAATTTGTGACTAAAGTGAAAAAAATTCTAAAACTGATATTTAATTTTATTCTTTATTCAAAACAATAAAATTGGCTTTTTTTTGTTCATAGTCAACCAACCTTGCTTAGCTTCCAGAAAGCCTGATTTGGCTAAGAATTCAACGTCGGTACCATCATCATCTTCAGCATCGTCTGCAAATTCAACATTCTTGTGGTGTAATTGAAACCATTACATCCATTAAGTAGAAAGTAAATTTGATAAGAAATTATTGAAAGAAATTTGTCACTAAAATGTAGGCTATAAGCCAGTATTTTTGGTTATAAAGATAAAAGATAGTCAAATTATTTTCTATTACAATGTAATATAACTTATTAACCTTTAACTTAGACTTTAATTAGTTAAATTCTAACAAGGTTTAGGCATATCTAATAAACGAAGTGATTTCCGAATAAATTTCTTAATTTTAAAAAATTTTTTGGCAGTATTATTGCATAAAATTTTAAATATAACTTTACTAAATGATAGTATAAAGGCATTATAAGTGTTAGAATGACGACTTACTAACTGAATTTCCTGGGGGAAAGAAAAGACCAGCGCAACTAATTGCCAACAGTAATACTAATCTAACTGATATCATGGATCCTGACAAAGTTCAGTAACAGACCTAAGAAAGAGTAATGGTGTACTAAACTTACACTTCTGTAAAACTACGATTAATTAATTAATGAAAAAAAATATATATATACATATATATATGACTTAAAATCTTGTATCGAAACATCAAAAGCAATCATAACTGATCAGAAAGAAAAAAAAGACGTTTTTGTTGTCTTTTTATCATTTTTTCTATTCTACAAAGAAGAAAAAACAACAGTAAAGAATGAACAACAAAAGCTGTCAAATATCTTCATATCACTTTTATTTCAAAAAAAAAAAAAAAAAAAAAAAAAAAAA